CTGATGATGGACATCTCAGTTGTTTCCATTTCTTGCTGCAATAAATAACGCTGCTGTCTGTCACACATTCTTCAAGGATTTTTGTGGGCATAGTTGTTGTTTCTCATATATAAGTAACTGAGAGGTGAATTTTTGGGTCATGGCTTCAGTGCATGTCTGGTTTTATAAGGAACTCCCAGACCTTTTCCCAAAGGGAGTATGCCATTTTGTACTTCCAGCCACAGTGTGTGAAAGTTCAGCATGGTCCACATTCTTTCCAACATTTTGGTGTTATCATTCTTTTTCATTTTTTGGTAAGAGTATCTCACTGTGGTTTTAATTTGCACATCCCTGATGACATAAAATGTTGAGCATATTTTCCTTTGCTTATTGGGCATTTCTAGATCTTCTGTTGTATAGTATCTGTTTAAATCTTTTGCCCAGTTCTACTTGCATTATTTTTCTTTTTATTATTGAGTTGCAAATATATCTTCCTATTTTTATAACAATTCTTTGTTAGATATGTGTGTTACAAATATTTTCTCTCATTTGCTTATCATTTTCTTGACGCTTTTAATGAGAAGGTTTTAACTTTGGTGAATTTTTGCTTTTTTTTTTTTACCTTTCTTTTCTTTTATGTTGCATGCTTTTTATGTTCTCTCTAAGAAATATTTGCCTACTCCGAGGTTGTGAAGATATCCTCCTTTATTTTATTCTAATAGCTTTATTGTTATAGCCTTTATGTTCAGTCCTATTTTCCATCTTGAACTGATTTTTCCTATGGTATAATGTAGAGACCAACATTCTTATTTCTCTTATGGATTTCCCTTACTGATTTTAATAGTACCACTTCTTGAAGAGATTTTCCCTTCTTAATTGAATTGTTTTGACACATTTGCAGTAAATCACTTTACCAAATATGTGGGTGTATTACTAGACTTTGTCTTCTGCCACAATTCTTTTTTCTCTTATGGATTTCCCTTACTGATTTAATAGTACCACTTCTTGAAGAGATTTTCCCTTCTTAATTGAATTGTTTTGACACATTTGCAGTAAATCACTTTACCAAATATGTGGGTGTATTACTAGACTTTGTCTTCTGTTCCATTCATCTATTTGTTTAACCTTTGGCTTGATTACTGAAGATCTATAGTAAGTCTTAAAGTAAGTAGTTTAAGTCTTCTAACTTTATTCTTCCTCTTCAAAAGTAGTTTGGCTATTTTTTTCCCTTTAACTTTCTGCATAAATTTTAAAGTCATATTGTTAATTTTTGGAAAATAAACCTGCTAGAAGTTTAATTGGGATGACAGTATACATGAATTGATATCTTCACAATAATGACTTTTCTGATCCATGAACAAGATATAACTCTCCATTTATTTAGCTCTTGTTTAATTTCTCTCAACAATATTTTATTGTTTTTGGTGTAGATGAATTACACGTTATCTTTTGTTAAATTTATCCTTAAATTTTGCAATGATCTTTAACCCTATTATAAATGGTCAAGTCTTCTTGATTTTATTGTCTGATTGTTCACTACTAGTATGTAGTAAAGTATAATTGATTTTTAATATTTAGCTTGTATCCTTTAACGTAAACAATAAAATCAATAAGTCAAAGAAACTTCCCAGATAAAAAAAATATATACTTAAAAGTACATATTCAAAGAGTTATAAGCCCAGAATGACTTTTCTAGTAAGAATATTGGACTTTAAAGAAAAAAATTATACCCGATAAGCAAAAAGAGCAAGTTACTTATAAGTAATTTACAAGAGAAATAAAATTAGATGATCCAACTTTTCAACAGCAACACTTTGTCATAAGAAAACAGAGCCACGTACTTAAAATACACAAGGAAAAAAGGTGAGCTGTTGTTGTGAATCAAAACTGACTACAGATATGATGGAAATGCTCTTTAAGGAAGATTATTCTAGCAGCTTTTTAAGGTACAGATTAAAATAGGATAATGGTGTATGTCAACTATACTTTAATAAAAATTTAATTAAATAGTTAATTAAAATGTGGGATGTGGTGATATGCCAAAAAATCTTAGAAAAATCTAGGCCAGCACAGTCTAATAGAACTTTCTGCAGTGATGGAATTAGTGTCTAATTCTACAGTATCCAATGTAGTAGTCGCTAACTCACATAGCATTTGAACACTTGAAATGTGGGTTGTGAAACTGAGAAACTGAGTTTTAAATTTTACTTCATTGTAATTAATTCCAATTTAAATTTATATAGTATCATGTGGTTAACGACCACCATATTAGACAATGCAGATGTAGGCAGTCTAAAACCCGAACACTAGACTGTGGCTAAAGAAATGGAATTAAAACAGGATACCCAAGAGGTATAATGGAAAAAAGAAACAATGTCTTTATAGGAGAAAAGAGAAAAAGGAGATTTAAACAATTCAAAGGCAGTGTACTTGGGAGAATGGGGAAACTCGTAGTACCATCCAATAAAAAGTGTATCTTATCCGGGGCTACTTTAAAAAGTAGATGTTTTAACATGTTGAGTTCTCAGTGGTAAGGAGACTTCCAAGTGAAAAGACTATATAAACAGTTAGAATTCTCATGCTGAATTGGGGCAGAGGGAAGTAAAAAAAAAAAAAATCTGTTTTTTTGTTTTGAGTGGTTTTTTTTTCCAACATTTCACTCTCGAGAGAGGCTCTTCTGCCTCCATACACCCTGTTCCGAGATTGCCTTGTCATCTCCTTCATGGAGAGACCCTGATATATGCCATAATAACGATTGTTCAGAGAAATTACTATTTAACCTACTGAGTGATTAATATGAAATTTGTTACTGAAACAGTGGTATGGAGAAGATCAAGGAAAATTTTGCTTTTTTTAAGAAAGGAAAAATACAAGATAAATATTGCTTTGCATACACGAAGTACTTTCCATCTGAGAATCTCTACATACTCAGCAAGCTTAATTAATGAGAAAACCTCAAAAAAAGAGAAGTGATGAAATAAGGAATACAGATACTAGTGTTCTATTTCTGTGATTTTTAAAAACCAAGCTTGTTGTTTTCCTGTTGCATTAATGCACAAGTGTAGCCCCGTGTGGCAGCCATGAGATGTTGATCTTTCTGCTGAATGATTTCTCTTGAAGGCGTCCTTCTTAGGAGGGATAGTAACAGCATAGAATCCCACCCCCTAACTTTATTGATGTCCTGCACTCTTATTTGCAATGGAAATCCATCCCCTATCATCATAGTGCAGCAAGCATTTTCTGATAATTCAGTCCGCACTGTCCCTGGAAAGATTATTTTGTTGTAGAATGAAGCAGGTTATCTTCTTTATCAAAAATTATTCAAAACAAACATTCACGAATCTAGGACTAACATGCATTGAAAGGGGATAGGCAGGCCCTCTTAATGGGTACCCTACTGTGTAATCTTCCTTTCATCTTCATTCAAAATCTTTTGAAGATTGAAGCTCCCCTTTGCAAAAATATAAATCTTTCTAATTACTTATATGTAGTGTAGGATACATGATTTGACCTAGTCAAAAGAGACATGCAATAATGTATCCTGGCATTTATTTTCATCTGTTGTGACTTGAGGATAGATACTGGGTTTTTGTTGTATACCTTTTTCTTCATCTTTTATTTCGCCTTCCTTTCCTCCTCTCTACTAAAAAAATAAAATTAAAATTAAAAAAAAAAGGCAAGCCATTTTGCCAAAAGAGAAAATACCTTGAAGGATCATGCTTTTAAAGATTTTTTTATTTAGAGTTTGATGTTCTGTAGAATAAAATTAGCTGGCATGTGTAAAAACAGCTGTTTTTGTTGGAAGAGACGAAGATACTAAGACTTTAGTTTTTGGGGTGTGTGTGTGTGTGTGTGTGTTTATTTTTACTTATCTAGGCCTTCAGTATATGTCTCCAGGCATATATAGATCTGTCTAGCTCATAGCCTTCTCATATTCTCTGGGCCCAGAAATTCAGATTTGTCCCCATCTTTTCTTAAGAGCCTTTCACTATCCAAGCCAACATCATCTTACTTCACTCATCCTGCACAAAATGCACCTTGTTTGCCCAGTCATGTAAGGGTACATTCTTTCCTCATCAGTGCTGGACAGCTCCTGACACCATCTGATCATCGTTGTCCAATAAAATACCACAGTGACCTTTCCATTTTAATACATAACTGGGAATTTAAGAGAGCTGATGTAACACCTTCCAAATTAAATGTCATATTCTCAAAATTCGGATGGATTTGGAATTCACCTAAGTATATTTTTCTGCTCCCATTCCCAGTAGTCTATACAGTGCGATGATTAGCAGTAGCATTTTGTAAAGTCACTTAAGGCTTTAGCGCCGTGGAGTTCTGCCAGTAATGGTGTTTAATTCACTTATATATGCCAATTCATCTCTGTCAGGAGCCTATTAATTTCCTCACTATTTTACTCAGTCCCTAGTTCCTATATAATGAGACACAGTGATCCCCATTTATATAACCAAAAAACTTAGAGTTTCTTATAAATTACATCTGATCCCACTGCTTTTAGTGACCAGAAAGACTTTGTATTTCTTTTTTGTATTTAAATCAATTTTTCCAAGTTTTTTTCTTTAGAAGGATATACTGGAACTCTAGGGCACCAAATAGTGAAATCATAGACAAAGTATAAGATTCTGATGGGCTCTTTAACATGCATCCCTGTTCCAAGGCAGACTTCCATAATATCACCAAAGATAAACTATTCCCAGGAGCACATCCCACTTACAGGAGTGAATGTTGAGCCTCAGACTCAAAATCAGCCCAGTCATCAGTGGGCAAGATGCTAAAATACCTATAACATTGCTATAAAAGTAAAGACCCTGAAACAAATAAAGGCTATAGATATAAAATTAATCCCATAGAATATGCTGTTGGCATTTCTATGTAGTGAGTATATAGGAAAGTGACAGCTAAGTGACTGACTAGGAAAAATTAACATAGATTCAGAAGAGTATATAATTGTTTTAGGATATAAACTCATATATGTCTGTTACTTGTTCTTCTTTTTTCAGGATTGGAGCAAAACATCAGGAGCTAAGGGAAAAGCAGGCAAGAGCTCTTGTTGATTATGCTACTGGTACAATTGGATCACTGCATGATATGGATGATGATGAAATGGACCCCAATTATGCCAGAGTGAACCACTTCCGGGAACCATGTGCATCAGCAAATGTCTATAGGTCTCCATCTCCCCCTCGGGCTGGACCACTGGGTTATCCTCGAGACGGCCGTCCACTGTCTCCAGAGAGAGACCACTTAGAAGGTCTCTACGCCAAGGTCAACAAGCCATACCATCCACCAGTGCCAGTTGACAGGTAATATAACTTATTGAGAGATGAATGTAGTTTTAATTCAGTAAGTTTCAAATCATCTCTACTGTTGAAACAGATAAAAATATATATCCTTTATTAAAACTGAAATGACACAGTACCTTGACAAGTGTTAGCCTTTGACCTACCTGTAAGGTATCAGCTATCAAAAATAAAACAATAGCCAGTTATAAGGAGACATGAATGAATAGTAGAAGTTGAGTTCATGGTACAACAGGGAGCAATTTTTGAAGGAATATTGTAACAGAGAACTGATAGTGAAAACTTTGAAGGAATATTGTCCTTTCTCTTAAGAGCCCTACTGTGAAAGTTTCATTTAAGAAGACGGCATGATGCTTACAGGTGAGGAGTCAGAGGAGACAATGATTACTTCAAAGTAGGCGTAATTGAAGTGGAATTATAGCTAGCTGCAGATATGCAGAGGACTTTAAAAAGTAAGAATGGGTTTTTATACTCAAGGAAAATGTGATCTTGTACGGATATTCATGGATGACTGGAGGTAGAAAAGGAGATAATCTTGGCAATAGGAGTTTGATGAAGTAGAGAAAGATAAGAGATAACAAGGCCAAGGATCCTTAGGTGCAGCAGCTAAGGAAAGAGATAATAGGACCATCTATCAGTACAATTGAAGTAGGTAGGGAACAAGATGATTCCAACCTCACCTCCTGCCAAAAATAAAATGCCTCATCTCTTGAAAGGCTGATATAAGATAGTGTTAGTCAATATACATTGTTAGGTGACCCTTGGAATTACACAAGCAAGGAATGAGTTGACTGACCTTAGTCTAATCTGGCTATAGCTTGAAGTCTGGAGGGAGGAGGTAAGGGGGGAAAGGTGGTGGGCACAAAGAGCTCTCATCCTAGATGGAAAAAAAAGACTTGCTTTCCAGATTCCTTTTGGTCCTGACAACGGCCCAGTCCCTATTAGTAACCAGCTTTTGTGTGATAGCATGATATATTGCATATGTTTACCGTTTACATTTCCCTAGCTGGGTGATATTATGCACTTTCAATTAAGTTGGGGAGAGGAAGGGAAATCATGGCATTTTTATGCAGACTATAAAGTGTAGCTTCACAAGACTGATTACCTTTCAGAGCCTTTCCAATAACCAAGTGAGAAGGAAGGAGCAATTTTTAATCCTTACTGTCAAGCTTCCAGGTTGATAGTATTAAAGAAAGATGGTCAAGTTTTTCTTTGGGATAAATGAAAATATAAATTTCTATGACTGTGAGACAGCCATAATTATTAAACTGTTAATTCGAAGAACTGATTAAGAGTTGGCCTTTTTTCTCCCAAGCTTTTATATAGGGTCGAATGTTTATCACATAAATGATAATACCAAGCATGAGTCTCTTCTGTTCCAGACCGTAGCAAAGCTTACTTTCTCTAAATCAGATAGGTCTTTCTTCATAGCAGTCCCCTTTGCATGTGTCAGAGCTGTTTCTCAGTACTTCCAAAGCCAGTATTTCTCAATTCTATTTCTAAGGAAAAAAAAATATGAGGGCTTCTATTAAAATGCGTTCACTAGTCAAATACACTATGGAGAATTCTGGGTTAAACCACTGAATAGGTTTCCTTACTGTGGTCTTATCGCCAGTATGCTAATATGCATTGTAAGGATCTAAAATGGGCATACAACCATCAGCCCTTACCATTCCCCATATTTTTGTCACTTAATGCTTTTTTTTTTTCCGGATCTTGTGGTTAATCTTTGGAAAACTAGGAAACTCTATCCTGAAGCTAACTTTCATCCATGTAGATTTGACCAGGAAGGAAATTTCTTAGGATAATCTTAACTGGAGCCATTATAGAATAAAATCAGAAAAAAATATGTAATTTACTGCCCAGCACAGACACGTGTTTAAGCAATAATTTTTCTTTTGTCTGACCTCTTTGTTTTAATAAATGATTTAAAGCTCTTTCAGTGGCATTTTAGACAGGTGTCATATTTGGAGATAACAGATCAAAGTGTGACTCTTTATACTCAGGATTATCTTTATTCTGCTCTTTAGTTATATTTAAAGATTTTTCTCCTTGTTCTTTAAGTCTTGAAGCAAGCAGTTTTTGTCTTGGCACATAATAAGCATTCAATAACGTTAGCTATTATTATCATCGTTGTTGTTATTATTACTGTCCTTCATCAGTGAAATTCTAAACTTTTCTGATATGCCTGGGACCAGGTGAACCTAAGAGAGTTGTTGTGGGAGTGTCCCTAACAGCATTCGTAAGCCAGAATTATGAGTTCTAAACCTACTACATGTACAATTAGAGGCACCTTATTCATTTTGTCATTTGTTTAGTCTTTCACTCTTTCTATAAGTATTTATTTGGCACCTACTGTGATCTAGCTACTGTAGTAAGCTCAAGGGATGATACAAAAATGACTAAGATATGGCCCCAGTCCATATTCTAGTTAGAAAGGGTGCAACTCATGTGGAAATAGATAATTGCAATATACTATGAACAGAAGGAAAAGAAGCTTTTTCAACTCTGCTGGTCAGGAAAGGTCTCCTAAAGGAAGTGATATTTAAACTGGCTCTGGAGAGATTAGTAAGACTTGACTAGATCCATTAGAAAAATTGTTTTCCTTACAGAATAGTTAGCATGTACAAGGGTAAAGTAGCCTGAAAGAGCGTTGCATGTTCAGGAAGCTCAGAATCATTTAAAACATTGAGTGTGGATAGGAATGGAAGTGATAGGAAATGCTGGTAGGAAGCAGGTTAGAGCCAGATTGTGAATGAATAGGTTCCATCTTATTTTCACACGTATTGATTGGTAGCAGCTGTCCAGAAATCTGTGTTAAGAAGAGTTCTGACTACCGTACGATCCAGCAATTCTACCTCTGGGTATTTATCTGAAAAAAAAACAAAAATCCTAATTCAAAAAGACATATGCACCCCCATGTTCATGGCAACATTACTTATAATAGCCAAGTTATGAAAACAACCTAGGTGTCCATTGATAAATAAAACATGATACACGCAATGGAATGTGTATGTATGTTTGTATGTATGTATGTATGTCTATATATGTGTGTGTGTGTATATATATATGTACATATATATATACAATGGAATATAGATAATGGAATAGTATAGATAATGGAATGTATATGTAATAGAATATATATATAATAAAATATTACTCAGCTACAAAAAAAAGAATGAAATCTTGCGATTTGTGACAATATAGATGGACCTAGAAAGGTATTGTGCTTAATGAAATAAGTCAGGCAGAGAAAGAGAAATATTGCATAATTTCATTTATTTGTTGGAATCTAAAACACAAAACAAATGCACAGATAGGAATAGACTCAAAGGTACAAAAAGCAAACTGGAAGTTTGCCTGGGGACTGGGCAAAATAGGTGAAGGGAGTCAAGAGGTACAGACTTCCAGTTATAAAACAGGTAGGTAGAGTGGCATCCACTGGGGTTCCCAACATGCTAATGGCAAGTTAAATCATGGGCTTTGGAATGAGGCCGAGTAGCTCCAGTTCTTTTCCAGATACTACTGCATGACTTTTAGTAAATGAACTTTTCCAAGATGCCATGCATACAATTCAACCAATATATCCACTGTCTATTAAGTGCCAGGACCTGAATTCATTACGGAGTTCATAAGGGAACAAGAAGAGAGATGGTATTGTCCCCTCCTTATGGAGCTTACAGTCCAGTGGAGGCTACAAAAATGTAAACACACAATGAGAACACAGTGTGAGAGTGCTGCCGTACAGGGAGCCAGGGTAACTGCTGCCACTGAGGCTGGAGGGTCGGAGGCACAGAGAGCAACATGGAGATGAGAGGAAGCACAGTGCGTTAGAGCAACTACAAGAAGCTCAGTAAAATAGGAACCTAGTGAGAGGAGTATATGGCAAGAAATAAAATGAGAGTGTCGGAGAGCTGAGCAAAAGGCAGATGACAGACTCTTGAAGAAGAGTTTGGACTCCATCCTGAGGGGAGGCGAGGGCAGGGCTGAGGTGGGGAAGGAATCATTGAGGGTTTTAAAGTGAGACATAAACCCTGGAATTCAACTGGCTATTAAATGGCCTAGGCAGTGTATCCTCACCTCCTTATCTGCAAAAGGAGGATTATAAAAACAGCCTCACATGTTGTGAGGGTTAAATACAATTTCACATTTTGCATTTTTTTGTATCACTCTATGAAACAAACCTCTATTGTCCATGTATTTCTATATCACAGGAATATATGCGTATGGCCCACAGTGGCAACTTCTACCTCTCACCTCCCTGCTTCTCAAAGATTGGCCCTGAACAAACCTTCAGCCCTTCTAAGAAAGACGTGGCTTATAAAGGATTCATCTGTAAATGATGGTGGTTTAAAAAATCCTTACCACTGTAACAGAATCATAGGACTGGGTTCTCACAGTACTGGTTCTCTCAGGATATGAACACAGCATGGATTAATTCTGTCCCCAAAAGACGGACAACTATTTAGGGTTTATAATGTCTTAGTCTCCCACTGCAACACCAGCATTTAAAGGGCTCCCACAGTATATGAACATTAAAGCTTTATGTTTGGATGAGTTTAAAAGAGTCCCAAGTAGGGGGAATAGAAGATGTGACATTTGACGCAGTTACCACTTTGCATTAGTTTACATGATTATTTGGCTTTCTTTACTAGAGATTGTTTGAGCACACCTCATGTCAGTAAGAATGTTTTTGGATGTTAAATCTCCAAGATATATGTATTTGATTACTATACACTTATGTTGCTAAGATATTATATGTATTATAACACATATACCAAGTATAGAAATTAACAAAGGAATTAGATTTTTAAAAATTTCATAAGTAACAGTTCAAATATTTTCTTCCTCCCTTCACATGGGGTGCACACAGCCCATTTTGGAGACCACTGGTCTCACCTCCAGGCTCCACATGGGTGGGACCTTGCCTGCTTTTGCGTAGCATTGGCTCTCAGTTCCTAGAGCAGCCTGTACTCAATAAATATTTAATTAATTAACGA